GCACGGGATCTGTCACCCTTTGCTGACGGGGAAATTCACCTCAGTGGGGTGAGGGGAGCTGGGGCCGCCTGGATTCTGTAAGCTCACCTCCTTTTTTCCAGGCCACATCACCCACACCGACAGGCAAGAAGCAAGACTCAGATCTCACTCGCCTCCTTAAAGATTCCTGAAGGTAAAATCTGGCAACAGGTTATGTGCCATCTGAGGCAAAAAAAAACCCCAAAATCTTAGACAGGACGGGGAAGAGAAAAAAATCTTTGGTTCTAGCAAGATTGAAAAAAGAAAGTCACAAGGATGAAGTATAAACAATATGTGAAGGGATTAAAAATAACTAAAGTACAGCCTTCATGTTGCAAATAGCCCCAAATGCATGCCCACTGGTCTCCACAGGGTCTAACAGACATAACTCGCACATCGAAGATTGTGCCTTAAAATCTGCTACAGAGGGAAACAGTGGCCAAAGGCAACCTTATAAACTGCAGTTTGCTGCCCCAAAACAGCTTCAGATTTCAAGTGGAACCACAGACGGCCCGTTCACAGAAGTGATGGCTTTTTTAGAACTGAGGACACCGAAAGGAGCTGGTCTGTATGTACTTGATGGTGAGGCTGTTTCGTCGCATCAGGGAACAGAGGGACACCTTCCCCGGACCGGCCGCGATGTAGGTAACGTGCTACCTGACCAGGGAGCTTTGAAGGAGGAAAACGGGCAAATCAGCATCCTGGGAGGGTCAGACTGGAAGCAGGAGGGACACGAGGAAAAAGGCGGGGAGGGGAAGGGGAGTTAACTTCTGGCTCGGTTAGGAGACGGGCTTTTCTCATAGCAAGGCTATACTTAATTTAAAAACATATATAAGACAAAAATAACTTACTGTGTAGGCAATTAATTCTGGCTGGCATAGCGATCCTCTTAGGTTAAAGGGGATGCGCAGGAGGTGGAGAGAAGGGAGAGGTGAAAAGAAAAGTTTGCAAGAGCAAAATCAGAATGCAAGACGGTCAGAGTCTGAAGCATTCACATTACACCACATATGACGTTCCTGTGCAGGGCGCTTGGCATAGTTTTTTTTTCTCTTTACTTTTTAATATTTTCCAATGGCTCCACCAATATTTTTGTTCCTACTGGTAGTAAAAACACACAGAACATGAAACGGACCATCTTTGGCACTTGTGAGTGTCGAGCTGGGGCAGGTTAAGTGCACGCATGTTGCCGTGCAACCACGTCGACACTCCGTGAAGCTGAAAATAGACCCAGACTTGGGGCTGCATTTCCTGCATCCTCACAACACGTACATTTCCGACCAGAGAAAATCCAGGAGAATTGTAAGCAGGCAAGCAGACTCGGAAACCTATTGCCAGCTCCTTCCTACATCAGGAGATACAGGTGGTTCTTAAGCCAGAAAACTGGCTTGACCTTAAAAGTGAGAAGAAACTCCATAGAGCTGCCCCCTGAATCACCGGTTTTGGAAATTTTTGGGTGGAAAATGAAAACTCTTTGGCACCCCAACTGCAAAATCATCTGAGGTTCTGACAACAGCTCATAGAGATGCTGAGCACATACCTCTCAGAAAACACTGGAAGAAAAGCAGTTTTTTAAATGCTGCCAAGTGTGTCTGTTTAAAAAATCCCAGATCTGTGAGCGCTCAGCACCCCCGCCCGGTCCCACAGCCGGGCCTCCGGGTGGGGAACGAGGCACACCTGCTGGCACCGAGGTCCCCACCTGTTTGAGGGTGTCATCGCAGGGAAGGAGCAGGGTGGCCAGCACACAGCAAGGATGGAGACCCAAGGGAAAACCCTGGAAGGAGAAGCAGGAGGGAGGGAGGGGACGGAGGAACAGTGGTCTCGGGATGGGCCTGGGTCAGCGAGGCTCTGCCTTTCAGAATGAACAGAGGTGGCAGGAGGGAGAGGCGGGTTCTGTGAACAGAAGGGACGGACAGCTGGTCCAGCAGGAGGAGGTGACAGAATGGAGAGGAAAGGGCGCCCCACAAGACCCCTGTTCCTACTTGTCACAGTGCCCACCTGCCTTCCTCAGATGCAGGAAGCCCCCGTGGGCTGTTCTGGCCCCAAGACAAAGGCCAGGCCAGGGGTGAGAAGCAGCAGCCAGACCGCCTTTCCCATCATGTGCGCCAAGGATCTGGTCACAGCTTCACAAACTGCCCTCCATTACCCTGACGTGCCCCCGGGACCAGGCCCCAGCCCAGGTAGCAGGAGACAGACTCCATCTTCATCCCAGGGTCCAGAAATCACGTCTGAGAATCCGCCCCTCCTCCCTCTTCTAACTCCGACTCCTCCCCCATCTGTCCCTTCTGCTTCCACGAAGGGGGGTTCCTGGGGGAGAGGCGGGAAGCCAACAGGTGGGAGGTAGGCGAGGCGGGAGGCAGGCCCCTGCAGCCAGGCTCTCCAGCATGGTGCCACGGACCCGTCGGCCACGTGGTGCTGTGCACGGGGCCGCCCTGTGCCCTGCGAGCTGGGGAGCAGCACCCTGGCCTCTACCCGCCTGATGCCAGCAGTGCCTCCAACTCCCAGCTGAGATAGCCCAAACCCTCTCCAGATGCTGCCAGTGTCCCCCGGGGAGGGGGCACAGTCACCCAAGAAGGAACCCCTGGTCTGCGGCACCAAGAGCAAAGGAGCAGGAGGCAGGACAGCCCCCTCAGGATCCAGACCCCAAGTAGCCGAGGTTCCTAACACTTATGCTCTCAGGGAGTCGGGACCCAGCGAGGAGCCGCGCCCCCAGGCTCAGCTCTGACGCCTGCCCCAGCTCCCCCTGCCCTGTCCTCTGCACTGGGACCTCCTGGTACTGCCTGGCTGATGGGGTTTTCTGGGAGGTGGGCACACACGGGTGGGCATGTCCCCGTTTCTGGAGGAGAAAGCCGAGGCTTGGCGAGTCCTGCAGGCTCACGGCCAGCACTGGCCCCCAGCCTCCGGGCCGCGTTCCCCTGGCAAACACCTTCAGGTCACCGTTGTGCCAGAGCGCCGTCTGGGTAAAACTGCCCACACGGACGACGTTTACGGATGCCGAGCACTGACTTGGTGCTCGTGGGAAACACCCCCGTCCTCCCGCGACGATCACCTCTTCGCCGCACACGGAGCAGGGAACCGGGTAGTTTTCTAGGGAGCCCCTCTCCCTGTGGCCCCTGTGAGGCTCGAGTTGGGAGGTCTGGCTTGGTTTCAGTTAGAGGAAAGACTCAGAGAGGCACACAGGAGTAGGGGTGCCCGTCTCAGCAGCTGAGGGAACCCCAGTCTCTGCCCGGCTCTTGGTGACCCCTCTCAACGCTCTGGATAGTCCTGCTTGGGGGGGCGGGGCCCAGACAGGGTAAGGAGCGCCTCCAGCCATGAACACAAACTGCCCCTCCAAAGGCAGAGAGGTGACTCAGCCACTCACCCTCGGGAGGGTTCTGAATAGGGCCTCCACCCCCGCCTCCGCGCTCTAAATGGGCTCAAATGTTCAGTGCAGGTGTTTTCGTGGGCGTGGGGCTGAGGGTGGGATGCCTTTGTGGAGGAGACGGGGAAGGAAGCAGAGGGCAGGAACTGGTTTAGCTTGGACACCAGCAGAAGGGCAGAGCCGTGGGGTGGAGGGGCGTGGGGACGGGTGGGGGAGGGGAGGGCTGTACCTTTATGCTTCTTGGTGGCGCCCGGCTCCAGCTCTGACACACTCAGGGAGCTCTCCGAAAGCTCGTCCCCCTCGGGGTCGGGCGGGGCCCGGCCGCCCCACGCCCCGGCCTGGGGCTCCTTCTCCAAGTCCCAGGAGTCCAGTTCACTCTCCTGAGGCTCCAGGGCCGGCAGGGCCCCGGCCGAGGCCCCCTCCTCCTCCTCAGGCGGGGCAGGGGCCACCTCCGCCCCCAGACTGTCCGGGCCGTCCTTCTGGTGGGCACTGTGCATGGAGGCCGCGTAGTCCAGCATCAGGGAGGCGTCGCTGTCCTGAGATAGCGAGGTCTGTCCAGGGGCGAGAGGAGAAGTGAGGGTGAGGGAAGATCACACAGATACTCGAAAGGAGCGGCGGGTGGGGGAAAGCATTACCATCCCATCCAAACACCCGACTGGCCACTGCAGTGTCAGCCAGACGCCCAAGCGGCCAAGGGGCAGCTAAGGAGACGCGGGCTGACACCCAGTGAGCAGGTCTCCCACGGCAGAGGGCCGCCCGAGTTCGCAGGCTGGAAGGTGCTGAGGAAGCAGTTAAGGCCCGTCCCCCGGCAGCCGGGTGGCTGGACGCGTGTGTGGGCAGGGCATCCTTCTAAGCACAGGAGAGCACACGGGGCAGAGAAGGGAGCTCCGGAGCCCCAGACCCGATTTGCCCTTTAACCTTTGTCCCTACAGCGTTTCTGTGTTTCTCGCAGGCAGAATGGATCAGGACGCACTTCAGCCTAAGCCCTACATTCACGTGCAAAACACTTGCAGGTGCTAAACTGACCTACGGGGCTGGGGGTGGGAGAGGGGCTGTGGGGACACAGGGGACTCGCTGAGGGGCTGGGCTGCTTGTCTGGATCTGTGTGGCAGGTGCACACGAGAGTCTTCTCAGTGACAGCGGACAACCACCCTTTTCTGACTCGAGTCAGAAGTGCCCAGACTCAATTTGGGACAATTTGAGCATCAGTAAAAAAGACGAATACAATCAGTCAGATACATTAGATGTTGAGATCCCAGTGATTCTAAAATAAAACCTTAGAGAAAGCCTAGAGGAGCCTTGTTCTCATTTCACTCATTTATTCATCCTAAAGAAAACCCAATCTTTGGGCCAGGGGCTTCCAGAGACACCATCGCCCCCTGCTGGCTGCCTTTGGAAGTGCATGCTGGAAACCCAGTGGCATCACCTGGTGATGCTGTTCAAAGCACCTGGACCCCTCCATGGCATGGTACCATGGTAACATGGGTGACTGACCTTTCGCACGTCCCAGGACCTGTTCTAGGCCCTCTCCCAGCAGCTGAGGGGTCCATTTTCACGGTGCCCTCCGATCCGACCCTCTCATGCCTTCATGGTATCAACCCACCCTCTGTGTCCAAAAATCCACCTTCTTCCTCATCCCCTCTCAACGACCACATCTCCCAGCTGTCCCCCACTGTTCACTTTCTCCTCATTCATTCTGCAATGTTAAAGAGCAGTACGGGACTGACATGGGGCCATTCCCTGAGGGGCTGGCCGCTCCTGCAGCCTGGCCTGCCTGGCGTCCCCCAGGGGTGGCCTACCAGCCGTCATCTGCTCTGGACAAACGTCACAGAGCAGGAGAACGGAGAAATGGGGGGTTGGGATGTGTTTTAAAACAAGCTTCATTTCTCTGATGGCAAAAAGGCATAAACACTCATTGCAAAAAAAACAAGGAAATGGTTTGGAGATGTGTAGTGTGTAAAGTGAAGTCTCCCTGTGACGGGGTGCTGATGGGGGCTGAGGTGCTGCCCCCAAAGGGGAGCTGACATCATGTCGGCCTTTCTGTTTCAATCATTTTTCTTCAAATGATTCAGTAACCTCTCAACCACCAAAGCATCCCCGGTCAGAGACTTTCCAGTTTCCTTCACTGACAGGATAAGCTGCGTAAACACCACAAAGAACCCCTCCTTGGTGAGGAAGGCAACCTGACGCTTCTGGAGCTGGTGGAGAGCTCGGGCCCCGACACGAGGGGCTCACCTTGGAGACCCCGGAGATGATGAGCGTGCTCTTTTTCCGTGGAGATTTGAGCTTTAGCTTTGAAGACTCGCTGAGCTGTCGGATGGCGACTTCGGCCACGGGGTCCGTGCCGGTCAGCACCAGGAGCTCTGCGAGAGGGAGGGCACATTAGCAAAGCCTGAAACTTTGACAGGGACGTCGGGGGTAACAGATATGGTCCTTGAGGAGAGGTTGGCAAATACTTTCTGTAAAGGACCGGAGAGCTGGATAGTTGGAGTTTTCTGGGCGGCTGGTCTGTCACAATTAGTCCACGCTGCCTCGGAATTGGGGAAGCAGCCACTGACCATATGGAAAAGTGCACGGGGCTGGGTTCAGAGGAAAGCTTGAGCAGGACAGGTGATGGGCTGGGGCCAGCGGTGGCCACAGGCTGCAGTCCATTGACCCTGGGTCCACAGCTGATGCTCTGTGATGATACAACACTCACTGAGGGGTACACTTCAGATCGTGCACTTTACTGGACGTAAGTGATGCCTCCGTGGAGGGAAAGAACAACTGAGGCAGGTAAACAAAAACCTCTAAGCTCTGGGGAGACCGTGAACTTTGAGAGGCAATGCACCGCTCCTCCTCCCGCCCAGGAGCGGCTGGTGGACCTCACACCCCAGTGTGCAGAGTGATGGGCGGCCAGTTCACAGAAGCTGTTCCTTCCCCTGGGGGAACTACACGGGGGCCACCATCCGGGGAGGCTCGAAGCCCTGCAAAGAGCTCCACGCACGCTACTGCGCAGATCACCCCCAGACCCTCTGAGGGAGGTGCTGTTTTAATCCTCGTTTGAGTAACAGGGAAGAGGTGAGGCAGCCAGGTAGGCGGCAGAGCTGAGATGCTCGGCCAGGTCCCTTGGACTCAAGGCTGATGCCGGAACTCACGCTAAGCTCACTTCTGATGCAGTGAGATTAAAGCAACACTGGAATTAAAGGAGTGGGATGTGAACAGGAACTTTTCAGTCCTGGCCTGCGGACAACAGACACAACACTTCCAAAGGCAGTGGAGGGGGGCAAAGTGACAGCCGACCCCCAGTGGCGGGAGGGCGTGGGGAGGGCTCCTCGGGAGGGAGCTGGGCCTTGGGACAGGGATGCAGAGGGCCAGGGAAGGGAGAATGCTTGACCCCCCGGTTTAGACTGTGCTTTGATTTCAAGAGACAGTAACACAAGCAACCAGAAATGTGGGCAATCTGCACCCAGAGTTCTGGGGGAAACTCCTTTTAAGTAGGTTTCATGGGCTGGGGGAGACAAAAATAAAGTGGCCTTTATGATTACGTGACCTGAGTCCTACTTATTTTATGGAATCCATGTAGCTGGCACATTGAACAAGAGAAAAAGATCACCTTCATAAAGTTTATTAAGTGAGATCTGAGCGGAGTGTGCTCTGAAACTCAGAGCAGGGAGCCAACACCCCTCCTGGCCTCCCATCAGCTTCGATCTCCTTTGTCTCTCTCTAGTTCTTCACGTATTATGAAAAAAACCCTCCCCAAACCTCAAAAAGGAGCTGCATCCTTCTCCCAAGGAGAGGGAGGCCGGTGGGCCCGCCTGCAGGTGCTGAGGGGCGTGGCTGGGGTTACCTGTGTCTGAGGAGGAGAACGTCTTGCTGACGGGGGCGCCATGGCAGGGGACGGCTTGGACAGAGATGTCCTTCTCAATGACCTTCACCTTGACAGGTGTCCGCAGGGGAGACTCTGCCCGGGAGAAATCCTGATTATAACGACCCTCTTGAAGTGCCCGACTCTACAGTCAGGGGAAAGTGAAACCACACCTCATGTCAACCCTGCTTCATGTGGCTGGAAAAGGTAGGAGCCAGACGTCAAGATATTTTATCAATCTCTCTTATTCTTTTTTTTTTTTTTTGGTGAGGAGTGGAGAAGGGGTGCGCTAGAGGGGCATTGGAAGCCCAGGTTTAAATAAAATTTCAAAAACCTTTTAATTAAGCCAGAATTTCACGTTCTGTTTTGGATTCCAAAACCGTGTCAAGTGATCTATTCCAGGGAGATAACGCTTTTGTTCAGGCAGGAACACGGTATAAGTTCCAAAAAAATAAATAAATAAACCATACACTTCCACAGAAGTTGCCCCCAAGGCGGTGGCTGTGGGGACAACCACAGAATCCGGCTGGATCTGAAGCGGCTGAGCAACAAGCCTTCAAATGAATGACCTGTAACAGAAGCAGCTCGGCGCTGACCGCTCACAGCCAAGGTTAAGGGCAGTGCGCTGTCCCCACGGAAATGTCATGGAGCGCATTCGATGGCTCAGCTACTGCCTAGACTTTTAGCTTCAGAATATACTACAGGGGTGAGCCTTGCTTTGGCTTGTCATGTATTTGACCAGGTAGGAAGATAACTGTCCAAAAACTAAAAGGCTACACGAACGGCCTGACAATTCGCGCTCTCCCCGCACATGAGGTTCCTGTGGCGCTTGCGGGGAAGCGCGGCTCCAGGGCGTGCACGGGCAGGACGCCCTCCGCTCTCACCGGAGCTCAGCGGGGAGGCTCTCCCCGCGTCGAGGCGAGGCTTGGTTTTCACGGCAGTGACAGTAGTGACCACGGTCCCGCAGGGCATCACCGTGCGGTCTTTCTCTATCTTTGCAGCAGGAGCAGGTGAAGGGAGTTGCCAGGATTTTGCTTCGCTGGGTTCTATGTAAGAAAACTGCAGAGAAGGCAGGTTACGTGCTCTGTGGTCCGCGAGGACGGACAGCCCGCCGAGGGGTGCTCCCTTCCCCGGCCGTCACCGCTGGCTTCTTCAGCTGTCACTTAGCGTCCTGATTAACTGGGTGTCCCCAGTATGGACGTGGGGTGGTGAGACCCACACTCACGCCCATCCATGCGGCACATAAAGATGGGAACAGAAGCTAGAGAACCACTGAGCTGAAACAGCCCTTTCTGGGTTAGGCCCACGTGAAAGGGGCCCCGGGGAAGCTACATCAGGAGACACCTCAACGGGACCGCGGGCGGGGAGCGTCCCGGTCCAGAAATGCCTGGTAGGAAACTCCAGCTCTTCTCAGACGAGCTCCATGTTTCACGTTGAAGCCAGAGCAAGGCCCTGACAGACATAAATGAAGACGCTCCTTATCTCAAGTGGACCGAGCTGGAACCTGGCCCGTGGAGAGTGATGCCGTGCATACGTACCTCCGCGGTGACCGAGCCCAGCGCCGAGCAGCCTGCGGAGGACCCACTGGTCAGCGTGAAGCTCTGCGGCCCGGAAGGCTGCTTCTTAAACAAATCCAAGGGGACAGTCGTCGTCGCCAACAGAGCTAAAGAGACAGGGGACAAGAGTGGAGCACTGCAGTGTGTCCCCGGGGCTCCCCGGGAGCAGGACGGCCAGGGGGCTGCTGCCGTGGGAACGAACTCCTGATTAACTGGGTGTCCCCAGTATGGACGTGGGGTGGTGAGACCCACACTCACGCCCATCCATGCGGCACATAAAGATGGGAACAGAAGCTGGAGAACCACTGAGCTGAAACAGCCCTTTCTGGGTTAGGCCCACGTGAAAGGGGCCCCGGGGAAGCTACATCAGGAGACATCTCAACGGGACCGTGGGCGGGGAAAGGCTCCCATTACAGAACACTTCAGAAACGTCCACGTCACAGAGGACGAAGGAGGCTGTGGAAATGCTCCAGACCAAGGGAGGCTGCAGAGTGTGATCATCAGAAGCAGCGTCTGGCCCTGCACTGGAGTGGAGAGCACCGCTGCGAAGGGCGTTAAAGGCTCACGGATGGAAATCACGGGCTCTGGGCGGCGGATTAAAGAAGTGAATCACCGCAGTTCAGGAAGCTGGTGACTGTGCTGTGGACAATTAAGAGACTATCCCCAGTCCTGGGAAGTACACACCAAAGAAATCAGGGGTAAAGGGCCAGGACGCCTGAAACGTACACTCGGGGGGCTCACACATTACCCTCGTGTGTGTGTGCGCGCGTGTGCAGACAGCGGGACAGCAAGTGAGAGCGACCACTGAGTGTTCGCGCAAGCTAAAAGGGAGTGGAGCAAAACACTGAAAATACGTTGAGTCTGAGTAACAGTTTATATGGTTGTTCTTTGCCCTGTTTTTCTGAAGAGGTTTCATGGATCCCATCAGGCTGGACTGGAAGGAAATTCAGATGGAGCCAACGGGGCGGTGCCCCGGGAATGGATTAGGCAGACAGAGGTCCCGCCCCGTGGTCAGACCCACACCCTCTCTAGGAATGTCAGTTCCTCTCTCCCGAGCATCTCAGTCATCTCGGGACCACAGAATCAAGGAAACTGCCTCAAAATGTTTTACTAATATTTTGTTTTGTTTAGGAGCTTGAGTTGCTTTTTCTGAAGTCTTTGTAACTTGAGATAATTAGATGCCTGGTTTCACAGCTGGATAAACCAGGCAAGCGTCACCCCTATCAGTTTTCGTATGCTTTAAAAACATAATATTGAAACTACCGATTTATACACATAGACACACAGGTCCATGTTCCCTTTAGTGATTTTACCTCTCATTGCTGCTTTCTTGTATCTAAAGCATGTGTCCAATTTAAGCCGCTGTGGCTTATTTTTATAAGGAAAAGCCAGTTGCAATTCATAGGGACAAAAAGCGGAAGGGCGGGGGAGGGGACGGGGGGAGAGAGTGTTTAATGGGGACAGAGGTCCAGTTTTGTAAGAGGGAAGGAATTCTGGAGACAGAGGGTGGTTGTGATGGTTACGTAACCATGTGAATGCACTTAATGCCACTGAATTTTGCACTCAAGAATGATTAAGATCGTAAATTTTATGTTGTATGCATTTCACCACAATAAAAATGGGGGGAACAAAGATCTATTAAGGCTAAGAGGGATGAGAACTGCTTCTCTAAGCCAAGAATTGTTAAATAAAAGATTTTTGATATTTGTTTAAAAAAAAAGGAAAAAAAAGAACCAGTTGAATATACTCTTTCCCAAAACGTCTGACCTTGCTAATATCTGGAATGGACTTTCAACCAAACATCCCCTTGGGAAGACCTGGAGTGGTATAGGTGGAGGGGCTGGCCTCCTCTGGGGGGGTCTCCTCCCCTCCCTGGTCGTGGGGAAAGCAGGACGTGCCCCCAGAGAGCAGCGCCTCCAACCGCCTGCTGACACTCACCTTCTGAGGATCGCCCATCCTCTGAAATCTGCAGGTGCAACTCCCTGGACTTGGCATTCAACTCACTGTGGAAGGGAAGAGAGGCTTCACTATTACAATGCTTTACTACTTTTTTGAAATAGTGTTTTTCTTTCTGATTAAAGAAAGAAATGCAAATCATCATCAATGCAAATCACATCAATATTTAAGAAACCACAGAGACATAAAACCAAAACACAAAGAATATCTGCAACTTCACTCTCCAGAAGTAGTTACTGTTAATGTCTGGTGACTAGTCTCCCAGGATTATCCAACAGATCTTTCTGGATGATGATGGAAATGTTCGTAGAGCTGCTGTCAAGTACAGTGGCCACTAGACACACATGGCTCTTGAGAAAGTGAAATGTGGCTAGTGCAAACTGAAGAAATGGCTTTAATTTTAATTTTAATTAATTGAGATTTAAAGAGCTACATAAGGCTAGTAGTTACTGCACTGAAAAGTGTAGCCATATATAATTGTATGAAAACAAACATAGGACATAATACACCTCCCTCCTCCTTTGTAAGCTGTTTTTTCACTTAAGATATCACTGGCATCTTCCCATGTCAATAACGACAGAGCAACATCCTTTTTAACAGGCGCCTAATACTCCACAATCTGGCCTTATGGAATTTTATTCAGCCAACTCCTCAATAACAGGCTGGTTATTTCCAGTATTTCATAAATATAAACAAGCTGAAGTAAACACCCTCAGATGTATATCTTTGTACACACTATGTGGTTATTTCCTTAGGAAAAGAGCAATTGCCAGCCAAAAGGTACACGTATTTAAGAGATTTTCTTTTTTAATACATATTGATGACTTCCAGAGTAATTATTTCAATTTATAGTCCCACTGGCCATTCTCACTTATCTTGTTCTTTACCAACCTGTAAGGAGAAAGACAATCTCTTTTGTTTAAGTTTGTATTTCTTTAACTATTTCTGAGATTGAACTTCTTAGAAGTCTCCAGCTACCTACAGTTCTTGATTTTGTATTTCTAGTTCAGAAATGTTGTCCAGTTTTGTAAAAGAGTTCTCATATGTTCATCAATACTTTATAAAAACTCTTTATAGTATACATGGCACATCTTCTTCCATTATTTTTTCTAGTTATTTATTAAGTACCAGAAAGTGATTGATTTATATATTTTTACAGTCAGCTACTTTACTGAAATATTATTTGTATTAGTTTTTATACTATTATTATTTCTATCCTATATCCATTATTTCTAATAGTTTTAATTGATTTTCTTAAGTAGTCTAGATATGCAATAATATCATCTCCAAGTAATGATTCGTTTTGCCTCTTCCTTTCTAGTACTTGTATATTATTTCTTTTTCTTCTCTAATTGCATTAGCCAGTACTTCCAGAATGAAACAGTGAGTATCCTTCTCTCGACTAGTCGGACTGCTTCTAGTATGTATCAAGTATAGTTATTTTTAAAATCTTATTAAAGAAGTGACCATAAATCTTGTTCCAATTAAGTTTTAAAAATTAGAAATGGGTATTAAATGTTACTGAGTATCTTTTTGACATATATAGAGATAATAAGTTTGTCTTCTCTTTTGATTGAGTGACATGGTGAATTTCATTAATAGATCTCACGTCGAACCATGCTTGCATTCCTGGTATGAACTCACTCAGTCTTGCTATATTATTTTTCAAGGTGTTCCTGGATTCTATTTGATAATACATTAGAATTCCTACATCATAATTAATAAGTGGCCTACACTTCCCTTTCTCCATGCTCTTTGTCAGATTTTGGTATCAATTAGAAGTTTTCTTCCATTCTGCTCTGGATGATGTGTTTCTAAAGCAAGTGGGAGGCCCAACAACAAATCTCTCTTGTCACATCAGGGCATGTGGACCTAAATGAGGAGGGAATCAATACCAAGAGCTGCTTTCAAAAAGAAATCACGTCTGACTTAGAGCTACCTCAGATGTTTAATGTAATTCTTTAAAGAATGTTAAATTTTCTTCCTTCCTTCCTTTCTCTCTTTTGTTATGAACAGTGCTACAGAATAGTTTTAGAATTTGGCAGTCTTAAGCGGGCATGACTGTGAAAACCCAAGCCCCGGTAGCGGGCCATACGCACAAGGTGAATTCTTCTTCCCAAGTGAGGGTGGCAGTGCTTTTCGCGAGGCTGCTGGAGAACTTCTGAATGGGCTCGTTCAGCTCAACTACGCACACAGGGTTAACGCTGCCTGCAACCAAACAGAGGGGCACCACATTGGCTTTCATTTTTGTATTCTAATTGCATTAAGACTTTTTTGTGTATACAAGAAAGGCTAAACTAAATGTCTACGGCCTTGACTCACCCACTTCTGAGGGTCTAGTGTTCCTTTCACTTGCCATTTGCAAATTCTCAAAGCACTTCATCTGGGGTTACAGACTCTGTACTCACTGTGGATGTCCACAGCCCTGGACTGACCCCAAGTACCCCTGCTCCCCGACTTAGTTCTGGCTGCAGGCCCGTGGCAGGGGGCCCTACTACAGCAGCGGTGTGGGCCCCACTCTGAACAAAACTAACTGCTTGCAAAAGAAAGGGAATCTGGTGTGGTTGCTCAATTTGGGGATAAGCCACTCTCTCCACTGAAAGGCGGGGATCACACCACAGACCCAATTGCTGGGAGCCACAGGAGGAAGTAAGGGCCATGGAGAACCCACAAGGCATGCCCTCCGCTCTGCCTCCACTGCAGACATCACTTCCACAGCCAGCCGGGCGCCCTGCCCTCACCGGGGAGCCCCAGGCAGCCCCACCGCCCACCTGAGGCACCAGGACGGCTCAGCAGTGAGGCTCGGATATTCTTCACCAGCAGTTTGAGCTCGTGAGCCCTTGGAGGTTTGGGAGGGCAGGATTCCTGAGTAGATGAAGTGCGCTGTAGCTGCTGCAGAAACAAAGAGCGGTGACCCCTGGGAAGACAGAGGACTGGAGAGGAGCCTGCCAGACTCCTGCTCCAGCGAGGGCATCTTCAGGAAAACCTGCCCTGGGAGCCTGGCCCCGGGTCTGCTCTGTAACAACCTTCCCTTCTTACAGGACTGGAGGGCAGTAGTCAGCCACAGGCACTTCCCTGCCTGGAAGCCTTTTACCTCCCAAGGAAAGCAACTGAAGGAGCGACACCTTCAGCCAGTGAGGGCTCCCCAGAATCTCGCTGTGGGTGGAGACTGGGAGCAAAGCTCGCCGGGGTCCATGCCTGACCCAGGCCACATGCTTAGGGAGAGCGGGACACCCTCTCCAGGCTGCAGGTATCCACTGCCAGCAGCACCAGGTGGGACACCAGCTCAAATGGCTACAGGACACAACAGGCGACTTCCCATCTGCAGGCAGACCCGCTGTCCACGTGGGGAATATCTAAGTGCCGCCTGGGTGCCTGTGCTAGGGAGGAAGCCAGGGTCCTTATCAGTCCTCAAATCAGCATCGAGGCATTTCCAACAGAGAGCCTCCCGAGCCCAGGGGACCCCACCCCAGACCAGCCTTTCCCAGACTAGCTTCCAGCTCCCACTTGTGGCCACGAGTGTTCTTTTAAAGGGGCTCCTTAGAGACAAACATTGGGAAGCCTGGAGAGGCTTCTCAGAGACATCATGGGCTTCCGCACAGTAAGAGCCTTCCAGGGAGGGATCCTAAATGATCTGACCTCAGAATTCTTTCGGCGGGGAATGTTTACAGCCTCAAGCAACTGTAATGTGTTTTTGGTCACCGTCTAGAAAATACTGTTCTGAACCAGGGCCTTGCCAATTGTGAGCTGCAGGTGCTGGGAGGCCAAGAAGTAATCACAGAACTCCTTACGATCCAGGCCCACAGGCACCGGGGACAGAGCGAACCAAATGTCTGGGATGGAGACACCGTGTCTTTTCAATTGCGTCCATGTGATGGTTAATTTCACAGTCAACCTGATGGGACCACGGGGTGCCAAGGCACGTGGTCAAACATTGTTCTGGGCATGTCTGCCAGGATGTTTCTGCATGAGATTAACATTTAGATCCACAGACCGAGTAAAGCAGGCTGCCTTCCCTAATGTGGGTGGGCCTCGTCCAATCAGTTGAAGGGCTGACTTTCCCTGGAATAAGAGGGAGTCCCTCATGCCTGGCTGCCTTCCAGCTGGCATATCCATTTTCTCCTGCCTTTGGACTTGAATGGCTACATCAGCTCTTCTGGGTCTCCCTGCTGACTCCCTCTGCAGCTCCTGGGACTTGTCAGCCTCTATAATCATGTAAGCCAATGCTTTATAATAAATTTCTTCATATACATATGACAAAATATATATTTTACATATAATTGGCTCATGCAATTATAGAGGCTATTATTATACCCCCCACACACACACACACCCTACTGGCTCTGTTTCCCTAGAAAACCCTGACTGATATAATGTGTGTGCTATTTTGATACATAAACTCTACAGATTTATTTAAAAGCATCATTGAATTTATGATAGTCTTGGTCCTTTAATTTTCTGAATCCACATATTCTAAAAGTAAGCCATTATTTTCTGAAGTTTCTCCAATTTTGACATTAAAAATTGACCACCATATTCACAACAACCAGGCACCTCTGACTTGAACTAAAAAACCACAAAGGAATTACTGAGAGACAGCGAGCAGCTGAGAGCCTGCTCTCACCTCTGGGCAGCCTGGCCTGACCACTCCCCACCTCCACCTCTGGGGGCAAGCCCTGTCAGCCGCCCGGCCTGGGAATCCTGTATCTCACTCTGCCTGTTGGCTTACTCAGCTGCTCCTGCTCCTGCGTCAGGAGGGTGAAGCCAGTTTTTTACATTCTTTTAATCCCCAATGCCCAGAACACATCATGGAACACCATGATCCACTCGTATTTTTTCAAAGGATCAAGGAGATTTTTGTCTCCAGACTCTACACACTCATAGCTGGTGATGCCGTAATAAGAACCAGAGACTGAGTCTGCGTCAAAAATCTGTATTAAAAGTTATAATTTCAAAATGACTTTACTAAAAACTACTGATAAAGATGATATTCCACCATGCCAAAAAAAATACTGGAAATATGCACAAAAAATAACTTTAGGGACTGTAAAAGCATGTTTTGTATAATCATCCTAAGAAGATCTGCTCATAATTGGGAGAACTGACTCACCAGAAACAAAGGTTTTTAGAAGGATTGCAGTAAAGATGTGAGAGACCAAGCTCCGGGAGGCTGCCCGGGCCAAATGTCCTGGACACGAATTTAGCCCCAGAAGCAGCACCCCCATCAGGCGGCAGGGGGGGGCCTCAGGTGGGGAGGGAGGCCGGCGGCACGGGAAGGGGCCACACGGAGTAGACAGCCTCATGTCCACACACCCAGGGAGACAGGCTCCGAGAGGTGGCTCCTCTGGCAGCAGGACCAGATCACGAGGCGGTCCCCTGGCCAGGGCTAACATTCTGTGCATCCAGCGTGCTCATCTGCCTGCCTTGGGGCAAGCTGTCACCTCAGTCCTGGACGGATAAGGTCCCAGACAGCAGGCTCTAAGTGGACAGTGAAAAGTCAGGTTTTGGTTCCTGGAAAGGAGAGGATCTGGGCTCATTAGGGTCAGACTACTTTGAGCGGCCCAGACACCTCTTTCTTCCCTCCCACGGGGCCTCGGGACCTGTGCCCTGAACTCGGAGCTTCGCCTCAGACCCCGCTCAAGATCCACCAGCAAGCGGTCGGGCAATCTCGCTCTGCTGCGGCGGGTGGAGGGTGTGGGAAATGCGCACAGATTCCCCAAGGGACGCGGACCCCCCACACCCCGCGTCCCTTGTGTGCAAAGCCCCCACACCCCAGGAATCGGTTTACCTGCACTTCCCTCACATCCACAGGCTTGGTGCTCAGAACCACCGATGGGGAGGCGGCGCTAACCAGGTGCTTCAAAATATCCTTGAGACTTTCAGCTACGGCCTCTGTCCCAACCGCCGGGTCCTGCGGAAAGAGCAGGCGGTCACCCAGTCATCTCATGACCAGGCGCCCGAGCGAAAGGGCTCCTCCGTGTCCCCGAGATGAAGCAAAGCCGGCGTCGCTGGGGCTCCGGGAGGTCCGGGAGGACACTCGTTCTCTTTGCTGATCTCAGGGGTCAGTCATGCTCCTTAGTTTAAAAAACGGTTATAAGTGAAACACGTGCAACATAGAAGCACGTTAACATTTCTGCACTCACTCTATCCATCTTTTTCCCTAAACATACAGACAGATGTTTTTTCTTTCTTGTGTAACATTTGATTTTTTTTTAATTAAAAAGTCTTCAAGTAGATAGAAATGTCTGAGAAGAATGACGGGAAGCTATGGAATAACAACAGAGCAGGACGACTTGCACTCGCAGATGTCAAGCTCCAAAAGCTGCAGTAACAGAGACCCCGCAGAAACACATCCCCTTGCTCCAGAACGCCCACCGCGCTGCTGTTCACGACGGCCCC